AGTCTATTTGTTTGTATACCTGCAATACCTAATCTACTATGAATGACTTTTGCATAAATTTTGGGTTTTTTCTACTATATATAGCAGAGATTTCTACTATCCAGCATAAGATCGTATATTTGGAAAATAATTTATTTGGATTTATTTGGAAAAAAAAAAAAAATAGAAAAAATCAATCTTCTTAAATTTTTGTATCTTTTCCAGTTAATATTATTTTCTGTTCAATAAATATGCAAGAAGCAACATGAGTAATCATCCATTTATGTCATATTTAGGTTTACGTGCACAAGTGCGTCTGTACATATAGTAAAACGGAAAATATAAAAGTTTATCTAGACATTACTATAACGGCAGACGTTAAAGTTTAAAAAAAAAAAAAAATGAAAAAAAAAATGAAAATAAATAAATAAAAACAAATACAAAAACAGAAAATAAGAGGAAGAGGAAGAAAGCACAAAAAACTGCTTACTCAAGTGTGCACAAGATTGCTGGCAGACATTTGTCAAAACAGGTTTACTAACGCAGCACGATAAAACTAAAAGCATACAAATCCACCCACTACAAGCTTGTATAAGTTTAGTCAACAAAACATAATCCATGTTGTGGAGGAAACCAGCACGATATACACAAAAAAGTTTTAAATACAAATTTTGAAGAAGCGACATTAAATATCTCTACACAGAAATTATATGTAAACGGGTAGAAAGAAGACACTAAAAGTAAACGATCATGTAAGTGTTGCTGAATAATGCAAAAGAAAAAGAGAACAAAAAAACAATTTTCCGCACAGAACTGATAGTATAATGTCAGGTAATTTAAAAAAAAAAAAAAAACAAAATACAATAACTGTTGTTATGCTCATACAAATATATAATGACCTTGAAGTGGGAAAAAAAAAAAATTGTCACTTACTTCGACTATTGCAGCTCCTGTCCTTTGTATATAGCATTGACAAAACACGTACGTATAGATAAATACGATAAATGTATATATGTGGAAAACAGCAAAACATATATAACATGCGTATAATATTAAAAAAAAAAAAAAAAAAAAACAAAATCATAGCACAAATTTTGTTGTAAAGTATAAAAAAAAAAAAGTTGAGAAATGTATGGTAATGCATAGTGTGATGATTTACCTTCAAACAGTCTGACAGCTAAGTAATGTGTATAAAGACACATTGTTTAATAAATAAGCGCAAAATTTATTTAAAAACTTTTGTTGAAAACTCAGAAGTTACAAAAGGGCAGAATGCCGCGAAATCATTCATTATTCCACTGAATAAAAAAATATTTAGTTGTTTTGTATGTATGACTGTATTGACTTTCATTCAATGTTTTTTATAATTTATCAAAATTTCAAATTATCACGAAATTTAAAAAAATATTTGAAAAAGTTATTTTTTTACTATTAAAAATAGATTAGAAAATTTTTATTTAAATTTGCCTCAATGTAGGCAAATAAAATTTCACGCTGGAAATTAGACTACAAAATTTTACTGAAATTTAAAACAGAGCAAAAAAGTTCTTCTCTTTCTGTTGTATTCATCTTGGAACGTAACCGTCTTTAATCATTTCGTTTGCAACCCATAAAAGAAAGCCTCAGAGACCCTATAAAATATATCTTTTCTTGATCAGCATCAAACATGGTATTGATTTAAGTATATTTTTCGGTGTGCATATCAGTCAATCTGTGTGTCTGCCTACGAAATTTGAAGGGAAAAAAGGTTATGGGAAGATGGGCCAAATCGGTCAAAGCATAGCTCTAGTGTAAAATTTTATTTTCAAAAGGAAATAATTGAGTCCGTACAGCTTTTTTTTTTTTAATATTTTAATAAACCTTACAGTTGGGTAGGTGTAAGAGATTTCGACACAGCCGAATATAATTTTCTTGTTTATTATTCGAATTCAAATCGGACTTTTTCCCATGACTCATCAGTGACTGCATTCACTAAATAAAGTTTTTCTTCTTATATCTGGAAAATTGTTAATATTGTCAGTACGACTGTTGGGAGCAATTTGTATTATTTTCTACTTGCTTTCGTCTGGCTGACAGAAACTTAATTCTGTACGCATATGACTTTAAATTTGGCTTTAAAGAATCAAAAGCCCATGAAAATGTTAGGAAGGAAAATGCGCAGTTTTTAACGAACTATTCACAGTTTGTTGAAAATTTAGTTCAAGTGATGAGACTCGTGAAGACTAAATAATTGAAATGATAATAATTTAAAAAGCGCTATGGAAACAACTTGAGAATAACAAGAGTTCCTTCAACTAAAAGTGTTATAAGCTTAATACTAAGCATAAGTTACAAAAAGCAATTAGGTCCTTTACAATTCAATGGCAGAAACTACACTGCGGCTACATGATTATTATTTCTTTTAGGCAGTTAAACGTAAAGACTTTTTTTGAATGCAACTGCAAAGTGCTATCTTCTGAAACTCTAAGCGAATTCATCATTGGTTATCTTGTGCGACAGCCTTGAAAAGAATTATTATGTCGAAGTCTTTACCTACAAATGGACAAAGCAGTATGCAAAGTCTCAACTACTGCAGTATTAGCTGTGGAAAAAGTTTTATGCTAAAATTACGGAATAAAAGTATTACTTCTGAAATCTGGACATGTTACAATGACTTATGTGTACGCTAGACAGTAACCGTGTAGAGATTGAAATGGAATTAAGATGAAAATTCTGTTAGTTGCAATGTTTTTCCCCTTAGAAATGGTGTTTAAGCAAAAACATATCAAGACTGCAACTGAGGAATTATCTAACCTAACCGAAAGTTTGATTGGCTAGAACCATCACATTTACATTACTACATTTACACTTAACTAAATCCTTTACAGTCTCCCATAAACGGAAAGCTAATATCAGACATTTTCAACTGAAACTAAACACTAAAGTGTTAGCCGAGCAGAAAGAGAGAGAAAAACAGTAAAATTAAAAATGGAGACTTTATTAATTTCGGTCTAAGAGCTGGTGTCCAGAAAAAGAATTCAACTCGAAACCTAACAATCCAACAGTGTGTTAAATGAAGTACCAAAAATTGGAATGACACGAGCTTCGTATGTTTGATTGCGGCTTTGTTATTCGGCATAAGTCTTGCACATTTTCAATTTTGATCTCTTAAATTGCACGTACGCTACGCTACGTAAAGTATCACAACATATGTGTAATATAATCATGTCATGTAATTACGCGCTTGCACCTCCTTCTAGATCGCCTTGACGTCTGTTGTAAGCCATTTTATATGGTAGCGATATTTCATTCGTTGAGAAAATTTGATTATTGAGATAGCAAACGTAAGACTAGATTTCTCGCTGCGAAAACAACTTCTGAGTAAGACTG